ACAGCAAGGAAAAGAATGAAAACCCTGTTAAAACAGTAAAAAATGAACCCTGTTAGGCCCAGAAGAGCTAATGATAGTCAGAAAATAGAAGAATGAAGAGTTTTGCCATTTACATAACTAACCGCATTTACATATCCCAGGTAAAAAAAACACCATCACAATGACTTTCTATCATAACATAACAATGGCACGAAATACTAATTTCCCGACCTCTTCTATTACCCCTTGACACCTTCAAATTACCAAAGATGCGTAATTTCACACCCTATGAGAACCACTGGATTAACTCATATTGTTCATCATTTTTTACATATCTTTATGTAAAACCGCGGAAGTGAGGTTATTGGATGGTGTCGTACGATGACCCAAATGAGTCAATATATGTTGATTCTATCGAGCTTTTCCATATGGATGTGAAAAAATGATATTAAGCGAAATTTGAAATGTATCACTTCCTCTTTAAATATATCAGATGAGCTAATGATAGTCAGAAAAAATAGAAGAATGAAGTTTTGCCAATCGATAAAGTGTTTGCGATTATTCATTAAATCCGATCTGCTCAAAATGCGCACGCATAAAATTTGATCTTTACCATCTTGTAGTTTGAAATGCGATATTCTTTGCTAAGGAATCGTTGAAGATGCATATGAGCCATTCAGAACAAATGAACATGATCCAGATAAAACACTGTTGAGTGATGCAAGGATTCGGGAATGCGAAAAGAATAAACGAACAAACTGGAAGCGACGGAGTGCAAGCAATATAGGTCGAATCACGAACAATTAAGGGGTTTGAAGCGATACTTTATAACAGCTTGCGAGTTAAGACGAATAAAAGATTGGTGATTCCTATTCCACAAAAGTGCTCTGATTTGAAGAGTTTTCCGTATTAAGATAGAGGTGTCCGAAACTAGGTTTTATGGTAGCAAGAGACTGGGAATGCACTCGAAAACATCGTCTTGAGAATAATTCAAAAACTGACGTGTACAAATGCATAACGAACACCCTCGATCATCCGTGAGAACTTCACATTCAGTTGGACACGAGTATCGATATGGATCTGGAGGGCAATTTGCCGATGGTTCTGAAGTGATTGCGAATGCTTTACAACGAGCGTCAAAGCCAACAACACAAACAACAAGCAAAAGCATGAAAATGTCACTTGCTCAATACCATAAAATTCAGTGGAACCGTCAATGAAATGACCAACTTCACATTCAAGATTTGTACCGTCCACCAAAAACAGAAAGTACGGACAATTGAAATCGCATAATAAAGGAACACAGGAGAGAGGCACAATCTCAAACTGCTAGACGTTCACAAGATTGCGGGAACGATCCTATCGACAATTAACTCACGCTGAGGTCGTCTGAACTCCTCGTCTGGATTGTATTCCGCTTCATAGTCATTATATGAATAATCTTCATCGACGTCAGAAACACGCGGATCTTCAGGCGATCCTCCAGAAATTCGAAATATATATGAACCTTCTTTTTGGTTGTTGGAATAGCTGAAAGCTATGAAGTATGCCTGATGTAGAGAGTCATTAGTGGTGAGTATGGATCAAATATTGGGAACGTAGAAGTGATGGCGATTGTCGATTTACATTGAGATTGTTAACGGACAAAGTTCACAGACTTGATCAGTTCTCTAATATTCGGTGTTCCACTGTTGACCATTGATTGCCGTCGACCATCCGAGAAATAGAGTCCAGCTTGTGCGATCTTATCATGAGATGTTGTCCAGTCAATTCGGTTATAAATGAAAACTGCGTACGAGTTCAGACCATCAGTTGCAATCGCTAGCTGAATACAGTCGTGTAGCACATCATTCACACCAACTTTTGCAATAACACATAATTTCCAAGATAAGAATCGTACGATATTACCTGGTATTGATTCAGACCATCTGCGTCTGAAGCAGACACATCATCCCACGTGATCAGGATCGCATGCAGTGCTCTGAATTCACCTGAATCCCCTGTGGGGAAATTCCTGTTGATTCGATCGCTCAGATCATTCAGCAGGTCGTTATCGCTAGAAGTTGCTCTGAAACAACGATATTCTGTCATTCGAATAGGAACGGTAAAGGATATTCTGCTCAAAACAGTGACTGATGCTATCAATGAATTAATTGGCAGTGGTACTAATGATTAAGCATGCAATGTCATTGCTGTAATCAGTTATAGGCTTGGGCTTTAACCTACACATAAATTCATTTCTGAGTGGATCTGATTACCTTAACTTATGTCTCAATGACTTTATACTGATCATTCACAGAAGTNAAGTGATTCATTGAAGGTTTTAGCGAATTTAATTCTGAATACTAATGACCAGCGATGCCCGATCTTGGGAGCCAAAAAACAGGTAATTGATGCTATAAATGAATTAACTTGAAGACAGCACTATTCACTGGCCGTAACTAGTCTTGCCCGGATTCGGCTTGCTCAAGAGTCGGAGGGGGTACTAAGAACTTCGGAGTTAGAGACCTCGCTGGGTCAATTTTCATTAGATATTTTCTGACGTTCGTTATGTAGTACGGTTCTGCTCGCTACGCAATTCTTATGTGCGTTGCAAAAAAAATCACAAATTGATTGCCACACTGCTGATTTGAGTGTTTATATTAGCGATCGCAATGTAAGCTGACACTTGCAAAAAATTTCATGTGACAAAGTACATCGATAGCAATAATCTGCAGAAAAAATTCCATCAGATTTTTGTAGGCATTCAAGAAGATTGACCTATAATAAATGGTACCACCCGAAGTGGGTACGTAAAAGACCGCAATGGCGTTAATCCTTTCATCGTCGAGATTTCTAACGCTCTCCTGATCGTCTTCGATCGGTTTACCAAACGAAACAATACCATTCGATGAAATATATATTGCATTTTGTGTCTCTTCAAAATACACTATTGGCACATCCAACGTTACCGCTGACGGTTCACTTGAATATGAAATCTCCTTAAAATGGCACTTATCCTTATCAGAACACTTTCAGTCTAATCAATTTCAAATCCGAATTCAGCTTATGACGGAACTTCACTCAGATGATCACTTAAGCGATTGATTTTGCAATGAATNTTCTTAACCCATTCAAATGCTTACTAAAATGACTTCGAGCGTTCAATTTTTACCCATACGGCTTATTTTCACGCTTACTTCATGGACGGCCCACATTTATTTAGTTCAGCTGTTTGGCCACTAATTGGAATTGAAATGATGGTCGTACATCGAGGTTGCCGAAAGGCTTTATATTCCACCAAAAAGAGAGCTCGGAGTCACTATTGCTTCGTAAATGCATTCGTTGATCGATTAATTGTTACAAATGTTCAAAGCACTAACCTGATCTGCTTCATCTGGACCGAATCGATATAATTTTGTGGAATAGGCTAAGGGTAGTAGAAAAAATAGACTGAATATCACTTTACAAGGCAGCATTCCGCGAATAACGATGTTACTCCTCGCGGCTGATGCTCTCCTTAGCCTAAGCTGTCGGTGGAAAATGCTGAAGAGACCAATTCGTATGGGCAACCTGCATTTTAGTGACATTCGTGGAGAGGTATTGAACAAACGGGACAATTGCAACGATTCGCATGCTACAGGCGAAAGCAATGAAATTTTGTGATCACAAAAACTCGTTCAAGACACCGTTCAACGTCACAAGTTGATAGCTCTAGTCACCGTACCCTCAAAACAAAATCGCCGCTGCGATGCGGAAACACGGCTTGATCCATTTACAGTTCATCGATATTTTTGTCAATCAATCTTGCTGTATTTGTCACTTCTTGAAACGATAATCGAAAGTTAACGTCGATGGAATTAGTTGGAGTGTTTGATAAGCACCGATTACGAATAGACTGTTTCAGAATACGAAGCTGCGGTGACTTGTTTTAGTTAGATCATTGAAAGAGTCAAAGTGGAACAGAGTTCATGAAAACTGATAGTTGTTTTTTATTTCTATCAACAATAATCAGTACACTTCTCGATAAACAATTGTATGGTAGCCGATCAAATGACTGAAGAGGCTAGAAACTTTTCGTATAAAAAGTTGATAGATTCTATGAGAAATCGACCAAATTGAAGAATAATTAATGCAGATTGATGAGATACAAGCAAACTGCTTGCGAGAAAAGAGCGTCGTGTGATCCCAAGGCATCTGTCGCGCTGGAATGAGCAATCCGTTTTGGATTATCCCTGCATAATATCTACTTCGGACGAAAGCAACAATACACTTTTGTGGGTTTCATTCGACAAATATTATATCCACACTCATTACCACGGCAATAAAATAATGTGACATTTATTGTTCTGTGAATTATTTCGAAATCTATTATTTTGATTCAATTCTCTCATGAAGATTCAATTAAAACGTTATATTCTAAACTTGAGGCAGGAAGAAGAAGTTGTCCTGATATTATATTAACAGCCCCAATCAATTTCAGTAGAACGCAATAAAATAGCGCATAATCCAAAAAAAAATCAAATGAACATGACCTAGCTGTACACAAAAACGAACACCTGTAACCAAATCGCACACTGAATGTGAACAAAATCAAGTGATAAAGCATTTTTTACACAGCGATTCAGATGTGCGTCTGCAGATTGTTCAATACAGTTAATTATAAAACGTTTTAGCCAGCTGAAGAAGGACTTGACTACTAAAAGCATGGTAAGAGTATTTAAAAAACACGATGCTTCTCATTTGTAGAATACAGAAAGCAACTATTTGCATTCATTATACACAGCTGTGCTACAATAATTGTGATGATTAGTGAAAACGTTAGCATCGTCTTATAAATATCCAATTCCAAACAGCAACACTGAATAATTTATGAGGTTTCATTAGATTGTGAGTTTGCGAATACATATCAAAAGGAGAAGAGTATGATGTGAAGTATCGAATTCGGGAACACCCGCTGGAAAGAAAGTTGAAAACTGAATGCAGTAGTATTCTTTGACAAAACAAGTTCGATGATAATGATAAAAAACGCCTGGAAACAGTGAAAAAACTGGGAATGATAACTGAGGTTCCTTGGTAGCTTTAGAACTTAGCTGTTCCTATGATTTCAGCGAACATTATCCTCAACTGCTTGATCATAAGATCAACAAACTAACGTAAGTTATCTTCTATAGGCAGTTTAAATGCGGTAAAAATTCCCACAATGCTTTAACGCCCCATTCGTGGTTGAAATGTAGATCATCAGTTCAGGAAAACAAGTGAGTGAACTTTCTAACAGCATTTAGTCGATGATTTGGGATTGCTCATAAAGTTCAGTGAGTGCTGTAAAGAGTTTCAGTTTAATGTAACGTTCAGAAATCTTTTCCGATTACTTACTTCACATAAATTTGGTGATTTTATGACATCTGACAGTTACAGATTTATCACTGGCATGTGCTTACGTAAGATTTACTGAATGCTTTTAATATGCTAGCCATAAGGAGATGATTACATCACTTCGCATCTTCAATGTCTGAAATTAAGGCCGTAATTCAGAGAGACGAATGAGTAAAGTGATCGAAAATGGGAACATCATCTTACAGCATCGAGAAGCGATCAATATCAGTTATAATATTTCGAACAACTGTTTCAGTTCAAAGTGACGATAATGAACACTTAAGAAGAAACGCCTCGTTTCATTTACACGAATAGGAGGTAAGATTTTTGATCATCGATCGGAAAATTTGGACTCATCTTACTAGAGAAGCTATTGGACCAGTTTAGGGAATATACGATGATTCAGTTGACCTGCAGCATTCTGACGGTAATGCAACGATATTTCCCTGATGAATTTTCAGTCTTTTTTCGTATTTCATAATGATATTTTAGTTTTTCAACTATTTTCGTACAGATGGTGTTCTTGAGCAATTCCATTCTTGAATTCATACCGACTGTACAATTGGTAAGACAGAAAAAATCAACAGTTAAATGAAAATTGGAAAATTCACTGAATGGAACTCGTTTTGTGAGCACGCAATTTGGAAACAATTATACATCGTCCCTAAAGGAATTATTTTTTGTCTGCTCTAAAAACTAATTTTGGTTCGATTATGAATTCGAGAAAATTCAATCAGATGAGTTAAATGATCGATAGAAGATCAAGAATAAATTTTGGAATAAAAGTGAAATTTCTGAGGATCAATGGCAAGAAATGTGAGGATGAGACGAGTGATAATATGTGATTAAAGTGGTAAGTGGGCATCTGTAGAGCACAACATTAATGAAGACATTTGCTTAAAGATTACAAAAAAGGCGAACTGATAAAACAAATTATCAACGTCGCCAACTGATTGTAAAATGTAGTATTAACCTAGTGATAATCGTTTATTGCGAATGGCGCCATGCGAGTAAGTAATTGACGTTTTGAAGCAGAACACATACATACAACTCTTTCTAATCTGTTCTTCGACAAAGGCTCAAATTGTTCCGAGACTGAAGACNGTTTAAATTCGCTTAGTCTGGTGCAGTTCATTGAAAGCGACTCTTTTATTTTTTGCACAGAAACGGAGAAATATGCATAAGCGTGTGCTGTCTTTTGTATATTGAGAGCGTATTGCTGCTGTCCTTAAAGGCATGCATCAGCAGTAGGACACTCTAGAGTTGATTGATTGATCGGCGCTTGTTTTGAAGATATATTATGGGATATATATATAATAATCATCCGACAAGCGGTCAAATATAGATAAATTCGAGCCGTGTTTTGGATTCACTCACTGCGTGGATACAAAATCCACATGAATGTATGACACGAGGAAATATGCCGCAAACCGTACCCCGTCGTTTGCTGCTAGGTCCTGAACATACCTGCAATATTCAATGAACAGTTGTTCCCCATATTAGTAGCTTGTCGAAATCATGATAATCCTTTCGTGGATGGATACACCTGCATGTTATAATTTGTTCTATACGATCGAACTAAGCGTTCAGCCATTTTAATGAGTCGTATTATAATAGCACTGAATACTGACTTGAGTCGTTATGAAGCGTTCCACAAAATCACTTACAACGATGAACAGCTTTTAAAAACCGGATTTTATTCGGACATATCCACATTTCAAGATAGTAACTTCTTTTGAAAATGTTACCATTTTACTCGCAAAATTATCCCAAAACAAAACTGCACGCGTCTAAAGTACGGGAGGAAATGAAACTTTGGAAGCATGACACGATGAGAACATCGAGTGAGAGTGGTGTAATAAAGGTTGCATTTATTGTATTCATTAAGCTGATTTCTCATGAATATTCCAGCAACAGATTGAATGACCTCAATGGGTCATTCGCCATTAATTATGCATGCGATTATAACAATAAAAGAATACATCAAACAATAACATCGATGTTTAGGCAATTCGAACGCTTTTGTTATTCGTACACATTTCAGATTTATCGTTCCACTTTTGCAATTTCTTGACAAGTGAACATCTCAAGGTTGTTACTATTAGAGTTATGGCTAAATAATTCAATAGATTTATGGCCGATATCCACGACAAATTTTACGACTGAAATCAACAATAAGGAACTCTGATAGCAAACCAAAGAGGGAAGAAGAATTAATCATAATCATATCCTACATGCGAGCTCACAAAAAGTTCCGATTTCAAATCATCATCGAAAAATTGTCGACAATTATGGTAATAATTTCAAAAAGACCGGTAAATTCATCATTCAACATGCAGACTGCTTTGTTGTTCGTGTTTTTTTTGTACTTTTCAAAAACGAATTTTCGAAGGCACTTAAAGGCTAGGTTTTCTGAGTGATTTCCACTGAGCATTCTATAAAAGAATGTAAATTATGGCTTGAAACGATGAACGATGAGCAATGAAGAAACGGCACACGAAAAGAAGGTTCACAATGTCCTTATGTGATCAATATGGTAATCAATCAACATAATGGCGATAATAAGCCAATAACATCTGTCATATTTGCTCACCGTTTCGTCGATGACTAATCGTAATCAAATTTTACTGCGAAAATTTTGGTTGCGATTCACCGATCGTTTAAAATGACACAAAAATGAATGTGATATCATTATCAATGATTGTGATCAAACATTATTTGTGAATCAAATGTCAATATTAAATTTGGTTATCGTCGACTGACAAACTGATAAACATTTTTTGTGAAGTTTAGTTATTCGTGTGACAGAAATGTTGGGAATAATGACACCAGTTGGTCATTCGGATTCTGCTGAATGAAATCCAGGATTACGCTTGATCGCATTTCACTTCTTTTTGATGCGTTTCTTGGAGGGGTTTGGTGAAATTCACATTGCATAATAACTGAGAATGGTTGATAGAGCACAGAATTCTATCAAATAAGAAGTGAACAATGAACACTGCACTTTGATCATTGCTCTTATTATCCTCTGATCAAAAGTGTTAGCAATTTACTATGAATGGTGTGATTTTCGGCTGCAATGAATTGAACGAACGTACAA